CTAAAAGTATTACAGTGCTAGTCATCAAACAGATGCTGTGGATTTAAAAGCTTACTTTGTGTTTTATTGTGTAGAGCTGAGTTGGTGTTCAAAGAGAATAGTTGTGGCCTAATTATTCTAATAAACTTTCTGGAGAAGAAGTTGCTAAGAGAAATCACAGGAACTTTTGAATTGTAATGCTTCAGTTTTTGCTGGAGTGCTACATTTCATGAGAGAAACTAGAATTTTGCTGCTCTGAACTTTTTTTCAAATGGAAAAGAAAATGTGTATTTCTCAAGTATGAGGAAATAATTGGTTTCCTGACGCAAAATCTATTAGAGCTATTAAATCTAACAAGATCACAGTCCCAGTAAATGTTATTGTTTACAAGAAATGCAAGTAGCTTTTGCTATTTGTTGGCACTGGTAGCCACTGTAAAACAATAATTAATTCCTTTGTTTTGCTCTTGTGCTTGGCACTGTGCCTCACTAACAGCAGGTGGATTGGTCACCACATCAAAGGATATGTACATAACTTTACCTGTCTAACTCCTTCCTTCTATCTGTTTGGTCTAACTCCTTGGCTATTTTTTAATTTCCTGTGTGACACATCCATCCTGTATATATTTATGAATGGATGTTCTTATCTTAGTGGGAAGTTTTGTCTCTTGTTCTTATTTTTAAGTAAGCTCTTAGAACAGTGAGGGAATTAGTCAGAATCAAATGCCCACAGAATAGTCAGGAGCCACCTCTGTGCTTCCCATTTATTTCAGTAACATTGTAACCTGTTAGATTGCTTTGTTCCCCTCCCTGCAGTTTGTAGGGCTTCAGAATGACATATTCCATAAAGCTTTAGAAATGCAGATCTGGGTAATTATAGATTAGTGAGCCATTTTCCAGGAAAAAAATAAAAGCTTGTAACTATTGATGCCTTTGTATACAGACACGGATGTGTATTCTGAGTCACTGGGGCTGATTGTGGTTACTTGTTCAAAATAACAATTTATGCTATTAATAATGTAAATGGGGAGGAGGAGAGATGTAGGGGTTAGCTGAATCCATATAAAAAACTGAACGGAGAATCAGAGTATGGGAGATACAAACAACAGCCCTACTTGATGTAGAGTAAGAAAGAATTAAAATGCACCCCCAGCCTCTGTGATTGGGTAAAATCTAACTTCACTGACTTCAAAGGTCATTTATCCAATATATGTCTGTATACTGTAGTCCTTGGAAGAAACTGAAATAATATACTGGTTTTAATCTTGGAAGGAATGAAAATATCAGTGGCAAATGAAGATGCAGAATTTTGGATACCAGAAATAAAAAGCTCAACAGAGTTGAACTGACTGAGAAGAAACTCATAAAACTGGGGAGCTGCTTGTTTGATTTTGATGAGGGATTGTTTCATTGATGATTCTACTCTCCTTGCATATAGTGACTTTCCTTATGGATTAGAGCATTGCTTATTGAGGCTTGAAGCTGTGTTTGTGAGGCTTCAAGAGAGACACCCAAAACCCATCAGTTCTGAGCCTCCTTGCCAGGACTGCTGGAGATTGTCTATTGAGGATTTGAATATCTCCAAGGGTAGAGGTTTTGGAACTTCTCTGGGCAGCCTGTTCCAGTGTTTGACCACTGACACAGCAGAAAATTTTTTCTTACATTCAAATGGAATTTCCTGTAATGGTTTCTGATTGTCACCTCTTGTCCTGTTGTTGGGCATCAGTGAGAAGAACCTGGCTTCATCTTCTCTACATACTCCCATCAGGCACCCTGAGCAGAGGACAAGGATCAGTCTCTTGTCCTGCTGGTGATGCTCTTCCTGATGCAGCCCAGGCTGCTGTTGGCCTTCCTGAGTACAAAGCTCGTTGCTGGCTCAGCTTGCTCTTCACCATGATCCACAGGTTGTGTTCTGCAGAGCTGCTTTCGAGGCTGTGAACCCTGTGGGACCCGGCCATCCTGTGTCTCCAGCTGCCTGAGGTCCCTCTGAATCACTCATCTGCCAAGCACTGCTCAGGGTTTTGAGTTGCCTGCCATCTTGCTGAGGTTGCATCAGTCCTGTGATCCAGGTCATAGATGGGGCTGCTGGGCCTTATTTGCCCCTGGGCTGCTCCAGCAGTGACTGACCTCCAGCTGTGTGACTGCACCTTTGTGCCACTCACCAAAGCCCTTGGGAGCTGCAGTTCAGCTGGGTTTCAGTGCACCTCACTGTCCACTTATCTAACTTGTACTTCAGCAGCTTCTCTGAGGCTTTTATGTGTGAGTGTTTTGAAAGCCTTGCTGGAGTCAAGGTAAACAACATCTGCCGCTCTCCCTGCCTCCACAGAGCTGCTTACTGCATTGCACAAGGTGTCACTGGTTAAACATGATTTCCCCATTCTAAATCCATGGTGACTGCCCCAGATCATCTACTTGACTTTAATATGTTTGCAGATGTTTTCTAGGTTTATTTGTGCCATCATCTTCCTGGGAACTGAGGAGAAGCTCATTGGCCTGTAGTTTTCTGCATCTTCCTTCTTGTCCTTGTGGAAGATAAGAGTGACAGCTGCTTTCTTCAGCAATCTGCCCTGATTATCACAGCCTTTCAGACCTGTTGAATCTGGGATTTGGGCTTCATCTATCCTTTTATCAGTTGGAAGATAATTTTGGATTACAGTGCTGTTTTTATATGTTTTTAATGTTTTAAAAAATTATTCTAGAATTTTCTTGTTAATTATCTACTAGAATAACTTAATCTTTTTTTTTTTACCCTCACTCAGAAACAATGACGAGAGGTATTATAATAGTTAACTTCCACAACCAGCTTTTCCACCACACCTTTTCAAGTTTTCCTTCTTGTCTGTTGAAACATGATTTTTCAGAGAGGGCAATTTTGTTTTTTGTAGGTTCTAACAAGATGTGGATGCCCTTTTCTAACAGTAAGGGATAACATTCACATCTCAGATTGGATGGTCTGTGAAGTTTTTGCAGAAAGACTTGAAATGTACACATAAAAACAAAACTACAGGTTATATTTTGTAGAGGTAGAGCCAGTAGAGGTAGAATCCGTGGCTATAGAGGGATTCTACGCAGCCTGTTTAAACCAGCAACTTGCATAAAATAATTAATCTAAAATTAGATGAGAGGGATGTGCTGAACTATTCCAATAGCTTAAAGATGAGCATTACAACTCTCATGTTTCTTGAGTTACCTCTTTTCTGGGGAGCTAGTCAAATTATGAGGTGTAAACTAATTTACAAGTGAAAACACATTTTGCAATTGTAATTACTGGTGTTTTCCAGAATTATTAATAACACTTTTAAAATTGAGTTTAAGATAGACTTTGTTCATATGCCCTCAATGTAAACAAGATACCAATATAGTGATTGCTTTTTACATTGTTGATAGATTTTGAAATAGCTTTTAAAATTCACTTTGTTCAGGATTTTTAAGCTAATTAGACAAGGAAAAATATCAGTGAGAGTAACTATAAACAATTTTAACCTGTGCCGGAAATTACCTAAGTACATGTCACAATACCAGTGTAGAGTCAAATGAAAAGCCCCTCTCCATCCTCTGTTAGAATGGTTCTATAAATCAGAGTTAAAATATATTTTAATGTGTGTAAAATTAGGCTCCCACATTAATTCATATCCAGGTACATAATAAAGGACTAAATTTTCTGAGAATCTACTAGATTCCATGGCCACTTGGACTGCATATTATTCATAGGAATGAATACTAGTTATACCCATCTTGTTGTTAGTGGAAATCAATAGCTGCCAATGGTAGTGTTAGTTTTGTGTACAGATTAAATAACCACTTGCTTCAAAAATGACTTTAAAATATGCATTACCATAAGCATTGCCACAAATGTGTTTTTGACTGTTTCTAGAAGCTAAAGAATAAAATATTCCAGTTGGCAAGTGTTTCTTCTGAGTATTGATGGACTAAGAGCAGTGTTGTTAATTTTTACCCATGCTGTGAAAATATTCTGTATTTTGTGTGGTATTTTCCTGTTTCTCTCTGTAGGATGCTGTGGCAGGTGTTCAACTTAAGTACATTTAATTGTACATCTTTAAGGGTGGTACTCATGCTAGGAATGACACTGTTGTGGTTTGGGGGTTTTGTTCTTTTGCTTCTGCTTTGGATTTCAATAGCTTTTGCTGTCTGATTACATCCCTCTTAAGTTTAAAATAACAATTTTGAGTTGAAAATTGCATAGAAAATGATCGTTCTGATTTGGAAATTATATAGCACTATTCCCACTCTCTGAACTTTCAGTATTGCATAATATTAGTATGTTCCTCTAATTCCTGAACCACTTGCAAATTAATTACATGGAATGACAAAATCAGAGCTTGATACACATTCTCTTGTCATGTCTAGCTTTTCTAGATAAAGAAGCATAACGACACAAAATAACAGAAAGGAGTTGTCTTGTGCATCTTTGATGCTTTACTGGAGGTGTATGAACCCAGACCTTGAAAAAAAAAATTGCTGCTGATCCTAGACCTGCCTATTGGTTGATAAAATTAGCTCTAGTTTTTAACCTGTACTGATGTGCTGTAGACAATAAATGGTTCCTCATTTATCCTGCATTTAAAAATAGTAGGAATAGATACTAGAAAAAATCCAAGTCTGAAGAATATTCAGCTCCTTTAGCCTGCAGACAAGATTCACATGTGTTCTTTTCTCAAAAGTAATGCAATATTTTGAGACACAGGTTAAAACAGGAAGAAAATTCTTTTTTTATTGGATTACTAATTATCTTCTATGATGCATCCAGAGATTAGGCTTTGAAATGGTCACAAGCGAGTAATTGTTCTTAGAATCTTCCAATTTTTATGGAAGAACAAATATTCAAAAGTATATACAGATGCAGAGGGTGAAGATTCCTTTGGAAGGCAAAGTGGTTAATCTTTCTTATTATATGGGAAAAAGTTGTTGGCACTAATATCAGTAATGCTGGTAATAAACTGTTCCTAAACATATTTTAATACATTTTCACTTACTAAGCATTTTTATTCTTCCTGTTTGTAGAACATCCAAGGTATCTCTAAACATCCGGTTACAATTGCAAAGAAACAGTACATAAAAGGTAAACCGTGTTTTTATTAAGATGAAAAGACAGTTTTATCTAATTATTTTTCTGTGTGATATTATATTTTGAAGCAAGCTGATAGGTGGTCCAGCATTAAATATCAGATAATCAATGCTTTGTTATACATTAGCATTCAAACCAATTACTTTTTCTGATGTTCACGAAAAAAATACTTGGTGTTTCAGCAGTGATTTAAATAGTTACAAGCTTTTAGATTTTTTTTGTTTCCCTCACTTTTTCCAAATGAAATGATACATCTTAAATACCTTAAATATCCTAGGGATGATTTTGTGTGTTTAGCTCGTAAGGCTTTGCCTGAGTCAATGTTTAAGCTGGGCCATTTTAATCATACTCACAACTAAACACAAGTAGTTAGTCAGATGTGTTGTTTTTGATAACAGATGTGTTAAGGCAGATGATTTAAGGCAGATGGTTCAGAGAGAATCAAAGTGAAGTCTAGAAAAGCATGAGCCAAGTGATAAAGAGAGAAACCCATAGAGCAGACTCAAATATAAGAAAGATTTTGGAACACACATTCTCCTCCTGGAATGCCTGCAGCCACAGCTGAGCAGTGCTGCTCAGTGTTTTTCTGCTAAGGTCAAGCTTTGCCTTTTCACAGCTTTTCACTCCCTGTGTTGGAAATAATACAGGTCATTAAACAGGAGGCTAGGGAAGATAATGTAAAATTTTGACAGCAGTTTTATTTTATCTACATGAGTCATTTTTATTTGTATTTTTTCAAAGTTGCTATTAAAAACTGTGTCAGCAGGGGCAGCATAAACCTGAGGTGCTGGGCATAACTGTGGCACATGAAACTTTCTGGAGACTTTGTTAATCATCTTATATGCTTCTCAAAAATGTATTTCAAAGTTTTTCCTATATCAAGACACATTTTTTCTATTTTCTTCACTTTTATGCTGACCAGATCCTGTTGCATTTCAAACACCATCCCTCCCTACACTATGTCAAGTGATATTCCCTGGATACATTCAGTTTCTAGTACCTTGTGTTAGTGTTTCATTATATTATTGGGGATTTCTGTCATTACAATTTGGATGCCTATGACAGCTGTATGTTATCAATATTATAGTCCCCTACCACCTCAGAATTTGGTTATTAATACGTTGCTGCAGCATGTTTAAAGATACAAAAATACATATTTTTACTTATTTTTGTAGACCCTTCTTTATGAATGTATCCTTTATTAAGTGATCTGAGAATAATGTTAGTTATTGTATATATTTGATAGCTTGTGTTTAGGAAAGGGTGTGGATTTGAGAAAGGAAGTGAGCAGTACAGCAAGGGTGGTGAAGGTAAAGTTGTACACGACTGATATAGTGAAATAATTGTGATGCTGGCAGTTGGTGCTCTGATAGTTTGCTTACACTGCCATTTCTGTGGTGTTGGCTGTGTATTTGGTATAAAACCTTCTATGGTTTGCAGCACAGTATTTTTGAACTGGTGTTTGGGATTTAAATGTGGATTTCCTCTCTAGGAAAAGAAGAGGACATAATAACTATTTCCCCAAGAACGCTGTTTGTTTCAAAAAAAGGATGTACATTTTTAGCAGCAGGTAAGAGAGAGAGTGAATTATTATTCTCATACATATTAATAGTCACAGTTCTCTCATGTCTTTTTCCCCTCTCCTTTGGATGACATATTTTACAAGGCTGTCAAATCCCTTAGTAACAATTAATTTTGTTATGTGGTGTGTGTTCCTTATTATGTTTTGGAAGTAGATGATATTTTTGCCTTGTGAATATAAATAGTTAATAATATTAATTGACACATGAAGATAATGAAGGACTGAGACACTTTGTGATCCATAGCTGGAATATAGCATCTTCAGGATGAGCTTCTTACAGGCACCTGCCTTTTTTGAGAATGAAGAAATGATTGACTACTCCAGGCTTACATTTTAATTTATGATATTCTGGTTAAAATGCAGGTATGTTTTTATTTTAGAGCAATAGATGCATTTTAACACTGTTTTCTAGACTTTTCCCATATTGAGTTAAGGATCCTTGCTGACTTATCATCTGAACCAGAACTTCTGAAACTGTTCCAAGAACCTGAAATCAGTGATATCTTTACTACACTGGCTTCTCAGTGGTAAGATTAAATGTTGCATATTTTAATAGTAATTAGACAAAATATTAAGAATCACCTAAGCTATTTTATTGCTGCTTAATGATAACAAAAGACTGTATTTTGTTACAATATCTATTGTTCATACTATTTTAACACTATGAATTCCCTTCTGTCTTTCTGAGCCTTCTCTTCTCCACATATCAAAACTCTGCAATCCAACTGGCCAGTATGAGCCTTGTGGCTAAAGCTGATGCAATGATATATTGTGAACAGTGGTTGCTGATGGCTTCCTCCTTCTATTATTTTTAACCAATTCTTCTAAAAAATCCAGAGCAGCACTTAGAGAGGTTATCCATCTAAAAAAACAGAACAGTTCTTCTGAGTAGCAGTACAAGCATTATTGAAATTTACTTAGATATCCAATAGAAGTATTGGAATCATATTACATATACTTGAGAAACAGAGACTGGAGCTTATGGGATCTCCTTTGAACTAATAGGGTTTAGTGCTTCCATATTCTGGAATTATTTGGAAAAGGTGCTACCCCAATCATTTTTAAAAAGTAGATATTTTAATCTCCATATCAATATAATTATTTACTAATCTCTTCAGTATGCCAATTAAAATATTAACTGTAAAAAAAGATAGAATAGTAGTCACTTAGCTGTTGAAGGTATTTTATATTGTTGTTTATATCATGGTGATGCCTAAAAACCTCACTTGAGACTACTACTCCATTGCACTCAAAAGTGCATGAGCATTCAATAAGTGCCGGGGTAGATGTCAAGAAATTTGTGGTTTCAACAGATAGGTCAGAAAAAGATTGAATAGAATGCTGTAGCATAAAGCTGTTTGAACAGACTGTAGTTCATGTAAATATTAGGCACTTGGCTTATTTTCTATGTCTCCCCCTCTTTTTTATCTTTTCATCTCCATTTTAGTTGGAAGATTGTTAGCTGAAAATGAAAGCAAAAATACCTATGATTGATTGAGCTCAGTTCTCATCCTACAGTTTCTAAATTTTTGCAGGCATAGTGTTCCAAACGTGGTACTTCCTGCACACTTCCATAGTTCACAGAATCTTAGAATCCTAGAATGCTTTGGGTTGGAAGGGACCTTAAAGACCACCAGTTTCCAGTTCCCCTTCCATGGGCAGGGACACCTTCCTCTATTCCAGGTTGCTCCAAGCCCATCCAACCTGACCTTGAACACACCCAGGGCTGGGACATATTTGTTAATATGTTCTGAATCTGTACAAAGAAATGGAGCTCACATTATATTTATTCTGCTACCAACAACTGTTTCTGCTTGAGATGTGTGCATTCAAGAGAGAGAGAACAAAACTCCAGACCACAAGCATTCCATGAAATATATCTATGGAAAGATCACCTTTTTTCTAAAGTTTCTTAGAAACTTCTCTTGATACTGTAATCAATTCATAGCTCTAACTCGATATCGCTGGAACCTCATGATGGAGTTAAATCCTTATTTTAGTTTGATGATTTATTGGAAATGTATGCATGAAGATGAGTCAAATTTTGTGTCAGCTCTGGGCACTGCTCCAGAAATACCATTCTATTCAGCAATCTCACGGCTCTTGGCAGCCGTCAACCTCTTGCAGTTGCTACACGGTAACTTTAAATTTAATGAAGAATTACAGGCAAATATTTTTATCAGACAGAATTGTCATGGTGTGTCTACAAAATCATTACATAATGATTCTGCTGACTCTACTCTCAAGCTTCAGTAAAGCTAATGCTTGGAAGAAACTTTCTATTGAATCTGTTAAATGACTTATGAATCACAGAAACACGAAGGGCGTGTTTAATCTCATCTAACCTTGGACATCTGTCACATACTTGGAGAGATTCATGTGGCAGACTGCTGATATGGCCTGTGTAATAATATCAGTTGCACAATAAAAGTGTTGAGTTTTCAGTTCTTACCATTGAGAACAAAGTAGGTCTGGGGTGGTCAGCTTAAGTGTGGACATCTGTATTTGTTCTGACAAATTGAATTCCTCCTGTTGGGTCATTTCCTACTGAACTCAGCTTGGATTTTTGAACGTTGTCCTTAATTTCTTTGGCACCAAAGAGAAGATATAAAATTACAGGCTTCACAAATGCTTTCTCATTCCAGATATTTATTCTTCTTTCATAGTCTGTAGTTGATTCTACTGACTGGTAATGAGAAGAACAAAATAAACAACAAATCTTTTATCTCTTCCTGATCATCTGGTTTTCTCTGGGTCTTTATCCTTTAAAATCTGTGCAACTGATACACCAATGGGCATAGCAGAAGTTTTGTTCTGTTTGAAGGAATTGCGTGTTTTTACTATTTGTCTTTCCTGACATATTTTGTACAATTGGAAAAACCTTTACAAAAAAAAGGTTTTTTTCTCTACAAGATCTATAAAGAATGGATTAGTTTCTGAAGCTCCCTCTCCAAGGACGAAAAATTAGGTTAGTGTTAGTATCTAGTAGCATATCAGCTTCTGAATGCGTGTCAGGTGGTATCTTTTAGCAGGTTTTCTATATCTAAGAATCCTTAGTCTGATAAATATTAAATCATAAATAGAGAAGAATACATTATTGGATAGAAATCTGAGCCACACTCCAGAGTCCAGCCAAGTTTTGTATCAGTTTATTCATTTATTTTTTCTATACTTCATAGCTTCTTCACTGAAACATGACTCTGGTCCTTTGCTGCCCTTCAGACTAAAGCCTTCAAATGAAATCCAACCTTTTTAAAAACTTTCACAGGCTTTTTATAGCATTTGGCAGGAAATACACATGGGTGGGCAGTTTCTGCAAAGAGGGGAACTCTCTGAGTTCCTGATTAAATGAAGATCTCTCATGTATAAAAGCTTTCCTTTCACAATTTGGTTTGGTATTCTGTGCTGTGACTCAGCCTATCTCTGGTGCCTTAGAGATACATTTCTCTTGGAACCTTGTTGGATCCATGTTTCTGCTAAACATCATTCATATGGAATCTTTACCCTGGTCATCAGAGCAGGTAGAGGTGTGTGTGTCAGCCCAGGCTGTGTCTGTACATGGTAGTAAAGGGCTGAGTGGAATATAAACTGCCAAGCTAAAATTCACTCATGTGCAACACACTACCCAAACTAACCCCAGTGAGAGGCAAGGCTCCTGCCAGGCTGGGCTGGATCTTGTGCTACTCTGGTGAGCTTGCAGAGACAGCTCATTTCAGGAGTAACTCAGCTCCAGCATTCTGTGCCTCCCTGCTCTGGGCTCAGCTGTTTGCTGGAGACACTGCTTGCTGTAGAGTGTTTTTGAAGTATTGTGTATTCCCTTTGGCAGAGCTGTCTTGAAGTGGCTATTCAGCTAAAACTGTCAGAAGCTGCAGTTAACTTCCACAGAACCACAGAATGGTCTGTGTTGGATGAGGTCTTTAAAGATTATCTAGTTCATCCCCTTGCTATGGGCAGGGACATCTTCCACTAGACCAGCTTGCTCATCTCTGCCTTGTACAGCCAATGTATTTTCTGGTCATCTAACATAGTTACCCCACTAAAACTAAGGATTTTGATGCTCACTTGTATATGCTTAGTGCTCTTCTTCCTGTTTTACTGGGATGATGAAGTATTACCAAAATGATCTTACAGTGAGTTCTCTGTTATGTCCTACAAAGAAAAAGCCTGAAAGACAGGTCAACACCTGCTATTAAAGCAACACCAAGAGTGCATTACGTTAATGACACGCTGAACACATGGCAAAGTTTCAAGGCTTGCCTAAACTTTTAAAAATTCATGATATAATGGATTCTAGCTACCTGCAAGTTCACCTTGTGTTATGTTGCCTTGATGGCCTGTGACAGTCATAATCCTTTTAAATCCAAATCATCATCCCAGTGCTGAAGGTGACGAGAGCTGTCTTGGCAGCTGTCTGACCAGCCAAGGGACCCAACTGCCATTAGACATCCTGATGACAACAAACCTCAGTGTGAACTTTCTCTCACCTCTTTAGCTTTTACAGAATAAATGAAAAATAAGTAATTCTGTGTAATTTAAAATGCTTTTGATGTGCATATCTTAAAATCACTTTGAAAAATAGACACTGAAAAATAAGTTTGGTCTTTTAGGTAATCTGCACTTTGCAAAATTTAGTAATTTGGGGTGTAATGATTAACTGTCTCTTTCAAACTGTTCTTTTGTTACCCTTCTCAGTAGGTTGTCGTTTCTCCATCAAAGTTGATGTTGTTCCTCCATCAAATACTCATATTGGCAATACTGAGTCAAAAACCAGGAAAGGTATCTTGATTTGGCTAAGCACTTAAACACATCATAGCATGATGTGTTTCATGTAGGGGTTTCATCCTGTCTGACTTCTGCCTACTTTACTGCTTGAGTGATTTTTTTAAATCAGGATAGTACTGCTTCAGAGTTCCTATGATTGGAACATTCATCCATACTTTAAATATTTGGGTAAGTCCTTTCCTTTGTTTCTTTAGAATCTACCTCAGACAATGGAGATCCCCAGCAGTGACAAGTTCAGCTGCATCCAGCAGAGCACAGTGCTGCCCTCTATTAGGGGTCCTGAGTGCAGCCTGGCCATACAAATGCAACTCTGTTATTTATGGCTCTGAACAAGCTTAGTCAATTTAAGCTTGAAGATGTTGTCACTGTGATCCATTATTTGCTACAGATATCCCTAGTATCTGCAAAGTGTATTTATGTTCTATGTTTTATGTTCTCACGCCTGAAATAGAACACTGATATGTCTGTCATAAATGGCCTAGCAGATTTATGAGACCATTTTGCCCTTTCTAAATTATAACTATGAACTAAGATGGTGAAACATGTAGTCTCTATATCCTCGTAAACCAAGAGGTTCAGAGGAATAGACCCTGTAAGCAAATGGATAGAAGCGAAAGTCCAATACTCGTATATCCAGAAATTTAGGAAAGGGAATACCCAGGTGGTTTATAGTCTCTAGGGATAATACTAGCATATGAAACAAAGAACATCCTCTTGACTACATTACTTCTCTGAGATTTAATAA